GTTGTTTAGTGCTCTGTGGTTTCCATAAGTTACATTCTAGATATTCTGCACTTTTTGCTCTCATAATTTTATTAACTCTTTGAGTTTTTACATTTTTCAAGGAGCTCTAAAATTTCATTCAGAATATTGTTATTCTTAGTTCATGGCAAAAAAAAAAGGCTTTTATCAGTTAAAAATGCAAAAAGGTAATAACTGAAAATTATTGACATCTAGCCTGTGCAGATTTAATTTTTCTTTCATTCCCAGTGTGGCACACGTTTCCCCCAGTTGGCTGGTTGTGTGGAACTTGATTCCTGTGCCTCTGCATATGATACAGCTCAGGTTGCTAATCTGAAGAAGCAGATCAGCAGTAAGTGTGTCAAGCCTAGAAATGCTAGACCAAGCTGGGAGGAGCTTTACAGACGTTAGCCTCAGATGGGGAAACTGAGTCCTGGAAGGTTACATGCCTCCTCCAGGGTCACAGAGTTGGCACCAGAACTGAGTCTAGAGTCCTAATTCTAAACCCTATTACTAACCCATGCTAAGTCACTATTCTTATCTTAAAATTCACCCTTTCTACTGAAAATGCAATCCTCAGACTGCGAAATCGACTTCTGAAGAAAGATAAATTACCTAACACGTTTTTCAGCCAAACTTCTTAATGGGGATAACCTAACAGCAATTGATCTATTTTGGAAAGTATCCCTTGGGTTACTTCGGGCAAATGAGGGATGGTGTGGGATGGTATAAATGCCGGTTGGTAATTGTTTAGAGCAGTTCCGGGAGGACGTTCAACTGGAATAACCCTGGCAATAGGGAAAGTGTGGCGTGATGTTGACTTGTGACCCTTCCCTGGGGAGCAGCTGTGTCAGGAGACCTGACAGAGCTTCTGGAACACAAAGTCTCCGTCTGTGCTCCCCGTCACTGGGCAGGGAGACTAGCTACTGTGCCTGGGAGATGACCATCAATGTTATATTCCTTTTTGTTTTGGAGATTTTGTTTCAATTGGCGAAAGGTAGGTGAGGAAATATCTCTTGGTTTGCTAAGAGAGGCCAGGGAACATAGTTAGTAAGTATTAATAAGTGTGGTGTGCCCTGGGGATTTGGTGCTTAATGAAACATGTCTGTCAGGAGTTAGTCTGTGGAGCTGGCAATCCCAAGGGGAGATCACCATCACCCTCCAGAAATCCTGGTTCTGTTGGTATGTTGTTTAGGGCAATGCACAGTTCTCATCAGAGCACACTGATTTCTGCCTACCTATAAGTTTGTAGAGAAAGGTGTCTTCTTAGTCTCACATGGCAGCCATCATTGGTCTAACCCAGCCGTGGGCAAACTACAGCCCGCGGGCCGGATCCGGCCCGTTTGAAATGAATAAAACTATTGAAAAAAAAGACCGTACCCTTTTATGTAATGATGTTTACTTTGAATTTATATTAGTTCACACAAACACTCTATCCATGCTTTTGTTCCGGCCCTCCGGTCCAGTTTAAGAACCCATTGTGGCCCTCGAGTCAAAAAGTTTGCCCACCCCTGGTCTAACCTCTAGTGCCACTCACCAAAGTACCGTCCAGCAGACCCATTCTATCCTTTCTCACTCTGTTCCTGGAGTACAAGCCTTTCTCAGAGGCTCTGCCCCTCACATATCTATGGCTGTTCCTGCCTTTGAGCTTTCCTCCCTTATGGAGAATGCCCCTTCCTCCCCTTCTGTTTCTCCAAGTCCTGCCCAGCCATTAAGGCCCAATTCAGTTCCCATCTTCTCTCCTCAGAACTCATGTGGCACTTCTACCCATACCAGGCTATGGATGGTATAACTACAGTTCAGCCTACTGGTGAAGAGTAGACTCTGGAGCTAGCCTGTCTGTGTGACCTGGGCCGGAAGCTTTCCTGGATCTAGAGTTTTATAGAGTTCTTCATCTATAAAAATGGGAATAATAATTGGATGTAGCCATAAGTTGTGTAGAATGAATGAGTTCATACTATTAAAACCCACAAAACAATGCCTGGTACATAAGTTCTCATTAAATATTATTATTCCTTCTAGCATGTATGTAATCATGGCCTTCCTTGTGTTGTTTAATCATTTTAAGTATTTATTGGCCCCTAGTGAAATTGTAAAGTCCTCTCATGAAGAAAGCGGCTTGATTTTACACTTCTTGTTGACCTTTTCTAGCCATACATGTGCATATAATAGTTTCCCAATACATGAAACTAATACTGTATTAAATAAAGAAAGTAGATGGAACAGGAGTAAGGAATTGAAGAGAAAACACAGGCTTCAGTTCACAGATGGTGTTTTCTTATGAGTCTTAGAGCATGCAATTTGTTCTTTTTTTCTTTCCTTGTCCTGAGTCTAATGAGCTCTTCTGTCACACTCACCAGAGGTATGAACATCACTTAGCAAGGGTGCTAGAAATTTCAGGAGGTTGGTTCCGACACTGCTTTCCTCTAGGCCTGTGCTGGGATGGAATCTCAGACAGTAGATTCTGGTCTATCAGAATATCTCAAAGCAGGTGGGTCCTGAGCTGGGTGTTACTAACGTACCTCCCTTGCTGAGGGGCACGGGCAATTCACCACTAGGGAGGGGACCTTACCCTTCAGCCACCCTCTCCTTGCCTTTCCCTCCTCCTATATTCGCAGCTGCGATGCTCACAGGCACCATCTTTAGCCATCAGTGTTCACAAACATTTGGGGGAAATCAGAGGTTACCTTCTGGTGGGAAGAGGTGGGGACCCAGTAAAGAGCCAGTTGCAGATAGGAGTTGTGGTGATGGCAGGAGCTGCCAGAGGGGTCCTCGGCCATTCACCCACAGTCTGGGACTTTAGCCAGGGTCTCCACAAAGCCCCATGGGTGCCCTCTCTGTGATGAAAATGCTGTGTTTCTCCTTCTCCTAGGCTGGAACAAGACATTAAAAAGTTAAAGGCTGACCTGCAGGCCAGCAGGCAAGTGGAACAAGAGCTCCGCAGTCAGATCAGCTCCCTCTCTAGCACCGAGCGGGGGATCCGCTCAGAGATGGGCCAGCTTCGGCAGGAGAACGAGCTGCTGCAGAACAAGTACGTGCACCTGTCAGGCCTTTGGTGAGCCAAGCGGCCTCGCTGCTTCTTTGTGTCCAGGGATTGGAGCACAAGATTCGCGATGACAAAGGGATCGAGCAGAGGGGTTTTTAAATAAAATGTTTCATTTAATACCAGATATACAGCACGCTATAAAATCTGTGAGAACCTATTTCACTTCAACAAAAGTTTGTTAATACTGCTATTTTGTCTTCTCTCATTTAATGACTTATCTTAATTTAAAATAGTTATCAAGCTTTTATGATAACATACGGAAAGTTGAAAATAAGTATTTCTGCCACAATTTGAAGCTCTTGATCCTTTGAGTGAAAGTTTCCAGAGCACTGGACTCTATTTACTTTGATTTCCCAAACTAAATGACATTGAACTTTGATTTTACTTGAAGAGACAGGCAAAAAGCCAGCTCTTCTATGTGAATTCTTATGCTTTCTATTAATTCATTCTGGAATTATTTCTTGACTCGATATGGGTCTGTCCTTTTTTTATTTTTTAGTTTCTTAGCACTGTGTGCCTACAGTAGTGAATAATGTTATAGGCTTTGGGTTTTCTGGGCTTGCCCTATTGAAAGAGTAATTCTTCAACATTTTTAAGGACTGTAACTCAAAAGTTTAAGCACTATAGGCAAATAACCTCTCCACTGCTTCTGACCCACATGTGGTGACTGTAGCATTGATACATAGAGAACATCTCACCCTTATTGATGAATTTAGATAAGCTGACCTTATGTTACATTAAGCTGCGGGGTGGTTGTAGACAGGGAAGGGAATATGGCTGAAATTTCCATCTGAAATGAAGCATCCTATGACCCTACAAAATCTAGTTTGGGATACTCTAGAAAAACCATCTCACAGCTGGAAAGAAGAGGCAGCAGCATAATTATATTCAGGCAAAGAAAGACATTCCCCCACTCACACTTTACCTCAGTTTCAGTGGTGCTGGTTCCATCAGCTGTGCCTTGGTCAGACTGAAGTTCTTTCAAGGTGCTTTGAGGCACTTGAATTAGTTCTGCTGTTATATTTCCCTCGGATAGAAACTTGCTTTACCCTATTTTCTGAATGACCTTCTGTAGATAGAGCAGAAGCTAGGTCTGTATCTTATATGCAGCTTGCTTATTGGTATTTAGAAATTGTTAAATAATTATGACAGTGTGTTCTCCCTGGGCACCCTGGGAGTTAGGTTTGCTGTTCAAAACTCTTCTTTACTTTGGCCTTAAAATGACAAAGAGGAGCCATGTTTTTCCAGGGTTCATAGTGGGTATTGTAAAACTGTGACAATCATTTCCATACAGGCTACATAATGCTGTGCAAGTGAAGCAAAAAGACAAACAGAACATCAGCCAGTTGGAAAAAAAGCTAAAAGCTGAGCAGGAAGCCCGAAGCTTTGTAGAAAAGCAGTTAATGGAAGAGAAAAAGAGGAAGAAGTTAGAAGAAGCTACTGCTGCCCGGGCTGTTGCATTCGCTGCTGCGTCCAGGTATGTCCGTGTCACCCGAGTGCTTAATCTACGGTTGGCTTTCCTTGTATCGAGACAGCCATGGGAATTGGATGCTTCGGGCAGGATTAGAAATACAATAGTCGTGCATGGATGGCTTGTTTTTAATTATGGCTTTATTAGCTGGTTTAAACTCCATCTGGGCAAGTTTGCTCTCTCTTATAACAACTTCATCCTCAGCCATCTCCTCCATAAAGTGAGGGGAGGAGATCACCATGCCTCCCACACCTGGGAGGCAGAGCGCTGCTCATAAAAGGGTTTCCAGCTCTAGCTGGTTTGGCTCAGTGGATAGAGCATCGGCCTGCGGACTGAAGGGTCCCAGGTTTGATTCCCAGTAGGAGGCATGCAGGAGCAGCCAATCAATGATTCTCTCTCATCATTGATGTTTCTATCTCTCCCTTTCCCTTCCTCTCTGAAATCAATAAAAATATTTTTTTTAAAAAAAGGGTTTCCAGTCACTTTCTTCCAAACTGATCATTACTAAACACTTTGAAAGAACCAATCTAGAATTTTGTACTCTAAATTTATAGAACCATTATTACTCCCTACTCTTTGGTGTGTGTCTCTGAAGTTTTTATCTAAAAACTAGAGGCCCGGTGCATGAATTAGTGCACATTGAATGGAAATTAATTAGAAGAAATATTTTAATACTGCTATTCACCCTTTATAATAGAAATGTCAACCAAATTCACAATCGACAATGACAGATGGAAACACATGTGTGTGATTGGCACCAGCGAGAGCTTTATATATAGATATAGATATCAAGTCAACTTAGCCTTTTATATATGTAGATAAACTTGCTTAATTAGACCTGCTTTCTGATTTAACTAAACATTTTCCAGCACAGTGAAGAACTCCAACTTCCCTTTCAGGTAATTGTCAGCAACACAGCAGCAAATATCAACATGAAGCAGATTATTATTATAGATCACGCAGGGAGAACAAAGTGTAACATATTTAAA